TTTTCCTGGCACCCCTGCGAGCGACCGCTGCCCGCCCCTCCCCTTGGCCGGAGAAGACCGCTGCAGCCAGAGGCGTCTCCAGATGTGCAAGCGGGCCCTCTGAGCATGGCAGGGCTGCCTTGGGGCCTGCCCTCACGCTCCCCCTCCCCCCCCCGCTGTGTTGTTTTAATGGCCCGCATTTAATCTGCCTTTATCTGTCCTCAGAGGGTGGCGTTGGCGGGGACATAATGGGCCTCTTTCTTCTCTGCCAGGGCCAGCGGAGTCGGGGCTCCCTTCAGCTGGGCAGCAGAGAACGAGCGAGGAGCGAGAGAGCAGAAGCCAGGGAGGCTGGACGGATTGTTTGGATTTAAAGGAACAGGCTTGTCCAAAACATTTGCCTTTCCATCCTGCCCTTCTCCCAAGCCAGGCTCCTCTGACTAGTCAGAAGCCTTCCAAGGATTTTAGATCCATCGGGGGGGGGGGGGCTGGGGGGGGGGGGGGGGGAGACCCTAGGATCCATCGGGAGCTGTGAGGGTGCAAGAGATGGAAGCCCACGAGGCTGGAGTTCTGGATGGCACAGCATCTGGAATCCGGACTTGGCAGGAGCCGAGGTTGGCCGAGTGACCCGGCTGGGCCTGTGAAGCATGCAAGGGCGAGACCCGTGGCCAGCTGAGCCGATGGAGCAGGCCTGCAAGGAAGGGGAGGAAGGGGAAAGCATCTGGACGGCCTGCCCCCTGGCCCCCACCCCCTTCTGGACCGCCGTGTTTGACTATGAGGCTGTGGAAGAAGAGGAGCTGACCCTGCACCGAGGAGACTGGGTGGAGGTCCTGTCAAAGGACTCCACCATCTCCGGGGATGAGGGCTGGTGGACGGGCAAGCTCCAGGACAAGGTGGGGGTTTTCCCCAGCAACTATGTCACGAAAGACCCCGCCTTCCCCCAGATCCCAGGCTCCCTCGCCTCCGGACATCCTCCTCCCCTGGAAATCTCCTTCCAGGAACTGGAGTTGGACGAGATCATTGGGGTGGGGGGCTTCGGGAAGGTCTACAAGGGGCTGTGGCGGGGGGAAGAAGTGGCTGTGAAGGCCAGCCGCCAAGACCCCGAAGAAGACCTCGCCGTGACCGTGGAGAACGTACGGCAGGAGGCCCGGCTCTTCGCTATGCTGCAGCACCCCAACATCATCGCCCTGAAGGCCGTGTGCCTCAGCCCCCCTCACCTCTGCCTGGTGATGGAGTATGCTCGCGGGGGGGCCCTCAACCGGGCCCTGGCGGGCAAGAAGGTGCCTCCCCACGTGCTGGTCAACTGGGCCGTCCAGATCGCCCGGGGCATGAACTACCTCCATAATGAGGCCATTGTGCCCATCATCCACCGAGACCTCAAATCCATCAACAGTAAGTCTGAGGGTGGGGAAGCGCTGGCTGATGGAGGGGTGGGGGTTCGGGGCAGGTTTAAAGGAAGACAGGTGGGAGTGAAATGCCACCATCCCACACAACAGGGGCAGGCAAAGTTTCTTCATTTATTGGCATGCCACTCCTCTGCATGGTTTACAGCATAAACATGAAACACCCAGCCCTCCTGCCCATCAATAAACAATCCAACCAGCCCCCCCCCCCAAATAATCCCAAAAAGAACCCCAGGTGCCCATTTTCTTCTGGGAATGTCCAGGGGCCGCTCAGCCTGCCTAAAGGGCAAACCAAAATTGGTGCCCATTTTCTTCTGGGATTGTCCAGGGGCTGCTCAGCCTGCCGAAAGGGCAAACCAAAATTGGAAAAAAAAAAATAGGAATCAGAAAGAACCAGAGGCCCACCTCTGGGAAAAATGTGTTTTTTAAATAAATGCTTTGGGAGATAAGACTGTGACTTATATAAAAGGTCATTTGCCATTTCTGGAGACTTCTGGAAGTACAATTCAACTTTTTTTTTACTTTTCCAGAAAAAGGGGGAGGCAGAAGAGGGTTGGGGGCTTCCAGTAAGGTCTTGGCCCCCACTTTGCTCACTGAAGCCATACCCAGTACCCTTCCCTCCAGCCCATTCCTGCCTCAAACCCCTGTCCTTCTTCTTCCAACCTCAAAGGAATGCCTGTCCAGTTCCATGTGGGAAGTCTGCAAACACCCCCCCTCCTCAGAAAGCTCCCCCTGCAAAGGGAGAGGGTGATGCTGGCCTTTGGGACTCCGTAAGGGTTGGTGGCCACTAGACTCTGAAGAGATGCTGGAGTAACCGACCTGTTCTGTGAGCCAGCGGGCTCTTCCTGAGCTGGAACCATTTCTCCCTTCCCAGTACATTCCTCGTCCCCATCCCCCCAATTGACCCTGGAGGACAGGGCAGAAAGCTTGTGGAAGGATGGTGGACCCGGGAGTGGTTGCCATGGTGATATTCCCGCCACTTGCCTTCCTCCCTTCTCTTGTGGGTGAGCTTCGCTTACTCTCCTGCCTTTTCCCAATGAGTCCGGGGAAGTGAGATCTATCAGAGTCTAACATTTAAAAACCACCTGGCCAAGCTGGAAAAAAATATATACAAAAATAGAAGAGAGGGGCAGGAATGCCACCTCCCCTCTCCTTTTCCATGCTGCCTCTCCCACCTGCTGCCCAATCGCTCGGTCCTTTCCAGTTCTCATCCTGGAGCGCATTGAGAGTGAAGACTTGAGCGGCCACACCCTCAAGATCACGGACTTCGGCCTGGCCCGGGAGTGGCACAAGACCACCAAGATGAGCGCTGCCGGGACCTACGCCTGGATGGCTCCCGAAGTCATCAAGCACTCCCTCTTCTCCAAGAGCAGCGACGTCTGGAGGTAAGACGAGCAGGCAAGCAGCCGTGGCTGGTACTGATGGGGACTTACGGGGGCCGTCGGTGGCGAAGCCCAGGGATCCAGGGAAATGGAGCTGACGGCAACCCGTTTGCTACCCAAATAACCCCTGTGGAAGGTCGGAAGGGAACCGGCCACCCCCTGATGCTGGAGAGGGTGGTTGGGGAAGATGGGCTGTGAACCTCTCTCGGGAAAAGGGAGGTGGCCTGACCCTTGGCAGGAGAACAGCCCTTTCCCCCCCCACCCCCCCGTATGGAAAGGAGGATGGGTTGCATTTCTTTGCCATGCTTTGCATGCTAGGCCAATAGAGCTTCTTCCTTTGATGCCCTGAGCTTCACCTGATGAATGTCAGCCTGCTCTACCGCAGGCAGGCCCTTAGTCCTGCTGTGCCTTTCTGTCTGCTCTTCCCAGTTTCGGGGTGCTGCTGTGGGAACTGCTGACGGGCGAGGTCCCCTACCGGGAGATCGATGCCCTCGCCGTGGCCTACGGCGTGGCCATGAACAAGCTGACGCTGCCCATCCCTTCCACCTGCCCCGAACCCTTCGCCCGTCTCCTGCAGGGTAAGTGGGGGCTCAGAGGGGGCAGCCGTGGCCTTGGTTTCCAGCAGAAGCCGCTTGGGCTGCAGAGGGGTGGACGTTGTCCGAAAGACCCTCTCTTCCTCTTTATACGGGAAGAGTTTCCTGCAGCCCAAGGAACAGAAGAGCAGAATGTAGTTCTTGCAACTGAAAAGGTTGCGTCAGAGGGATATGGTGTTGAGAGAGAAGCCTATACTCTGAGACCCTTGCATAGTTGTTTCACAGTCCCTTTTTGCAAAAGGCAGGGGAGCTGGGGATACCCACTGTGTTGCAGTGGACCTAACAATGGACTAAGATTCCAGAGGCCTGGGTTCGAATCTCCCCTCTGCCAGGGAAGCTCACCGGGGGTGTGGAATTCGTGAAACCACTCCTTAAATATCGGACTTCTCTTGAAAGCCCTGTTAGGGTTGCCACAAGTCGGTTCCGGCTTGCTGGCACCGAACACCAGCCAGGGAGCCGTGTTTGTATCGGGTTAACGCTTCTCCTGGTTTCCTTGCCTCCCACCCTGTGTGGCGCAGAGTGCTGGAGCCCAGACCCCCATGCTCGGCCGGACTTTGGCTCCATCCTGCAACAGCTGGTGGCGATAGAGCAGTCTGCCATGTTTCAAATGCCTCTAGAGTCCTTCCATTCCTTGCAGCAAGACTGGAAGCTGGAGATTGCAAGCATGTTCCATGACCTGCGGACCAAGGAGAAAGTGAGTCCTGGGGTCCCACCTCTCTGGCCTGGGCTCCTGTATTACCTCCCGAAGGGCAGGCCCTGCTGCTCGACAGGAACTACGGTAGCTACTGTAGAGCACGGGGGGGGGAACGGGGGTCTCAAGCACTGGGCCCTGTCCCCCCTTCCCTCTCTTGGGGAGGCACCTCAGGATTTTAGCAGCAGTGGGAACAGTTTGCACCAACACCATCCTCTTTCCTGATTTTTCACCTGGAAAATGGGCTCCAGGGGAACCCAGTATACCTGTCGGTTTCTGTGAAAAGTATGCAGTGTTATGAGGCCCTGTGAAGTTGATCAACGTATTATCCCCCGCACCCCTAGATTTATTAATGCTTTTTCGTCATGAGATTTCGAGTCTCCAACAGGGCCCTTGGGTTTGCAAGGCAGGGAAGAGATGTGGAGGTTGATCCAAAGGATGCAGCATTTTAAAACAGCCAAGAAAGGCTCCTCTCTTTTCCAGAGAAGCAGCTGCGCCCGAAGAAGTGGATTTTGATCCGCGACAGCTTGCAGTGAAATCTTAGTCTTTCCAGTGCTACTGTAGTCTGCTTTTCTGCCTTTTCTTTTACCTCTTGAGTTAGAGATCAGGGGCCAGGTGGGGGCCAGCCCAGGCCTCGGGGGGGGCAAGTTCCCCTGCCCTATGGCCCAGATTTGGTGTGGGGGGGGCATGAGACTGCATTCAGTCAAGGAAGAGTAGAATAGAAAAATTTGCTGTTCTCCAGGCGGTTTCATCACTTTAGGGCTGAGCATGCCTTGACCGGGGGGCGGGGGGGAGTAGGTTCCGGAGCCAGGCCAGGGGCTGCTTTTTTGGTTTGGGGTGTGTGTGTCTTAGTGTTTCTCTTCTGAAGCCAACTTTGGCTCCCCCCCCCCAAAAAAAAATCCCAGGAGCTGCGGAGCCGAGAGGAGGAGTTGGTGCGGGCAGCTCAGGAGCAGAAGACCCAGGAAGCGGAGCTGCGCCGGCGCGAGCAAGAGTTGGCGCAGCGCGAGATCGACATCGTGGAGCGGGAGCTGAGCCTCATCATGCTGCAAATGGGCCAGGAGAAGCCCCGGGTGAAGAAGCGGAAGGGGCACTTCCGTCGCTCCCGCCTCAAGCTGCGCGGCGACGGTGGCAACCGCATCAGCCTCCCTTCGGGTACCCACTGGGGGGGCCCCGAGGGACCCTCCCCCCCTCCTGGCGCTTGTGGGGGTCTCCCTGCACGAGGGGCCCTGGGTTCAAAAACCAGAGCGAGTGGGGGGGGAGACAGCCCCCCTCCCCTCTGCTGGTGTCAGGAGGAGACCACGGCAGGGGAGAAGCAGCAGAGGCAGAGATGCCCATGCTGGGGCCGGTGGCATCAAGGGTGGCCTCCTTAGAGATGCTCCTCCTCCTCCTCCTCATGGTTTCAGACTCCGAGGACACTTGTTCTCATCTCCCCCAGACTGGAAGGAGCTGGTCGGGGTTTCTGCTGGTGAAAGCGCCCAGGAGAAGGCCCTTCCGAGAGCCAACGTGCCAGGGGTCTTGTTCTTTCCCTCCCGCCCCTCTCCTTCCCTCTCCTCCGTCTCATACCCGTCTTCCGTCCGTCCTTCCACAGGCTTTGAGCACAAGATCACCGTCCAGGCCTCGCCCACCCTGGACCGGAGGAAAGGCCTGGGGGCCAACGGAGCCAGTCCTCCTGGGAGCCCCGGCGTCATCCCTCGCCTGCGCGCCATCCGCTGTGAGTAGGGACCGTCCTCACCACTCCTCCTGCTGAGAGATGCCAGGGCAGAGCACCTTCTGCTATGCACCAGGGTTCTGCTGGTTTGGACCGGCCCTGCTTTTGAGTGGGGTGTGTGTGTGTTAAGCTAGAGAGGCAATGCAATGGGACTCGAGGCTTGCAGGCTGGGCCCACAATTTGCCCAAGTTTCTGGCTCGGCGTTCTGTGTTTCCAGTTTTGCAACAGGCGAGCGAGACGCTTGGGGTCTAAGCTTTCTGTGAATGCCAGTGCCTGTAAGAATGGGTAGGACACCGCGGGCAGCCCAAGGGAAGGCAAAGTGAACAGCCCGTGAACCTGCTGCATTGTTCTGATTATACCCTATGTGATTGTATAGTATAATGGACACGAACATCCTCCAGGAAAACATCTTTGGGATGCCAGTTTTTGCATAAAACCTATCAGTGGGTTTTTATTTCTCTTTCTTTCAACTAACTTACGATTTGATTGATTGGTTGGTTGGTTGGTTTTCAGCACAGCATGCCCAGCTAAAAATGTTCTTGGTGTGCCCCTTGCGCCCCACCCACAATGTTATTTTTCTGGTGCTGCCACTGCACTATGACTGTGGAGCTCCAGATCCTGGACTCAGCCTGTTCTCTCTCTCCCCCCCCTGCCGCCCCGCCCCCATAAATGCCACCTTGTTGTTTCAGTGACACCTTTGGACGGCAGCCAAACGTGGGGGCGCCAGGCCTTCCTCAAGAAGGAGGAGCTGGTGGGGACCAAGAAGAAGGGCCGGACGTGGGGGCCGAGTTCCACCATCCACAAG